TGCCCGCCAGGGCCTGCGGGACCAGAGGGGAGCAGACACGGAGGCACTCCAGGAGGACAGGGGTGTCCCAAGGACAGGGACCCACCACGTCCGGGCTTCCCCACAGGCTCCCACCTCCATGGCTTCTTGGGATCCCATCAGGGGAGTTAGCAAAGTGGGGAGCCCCGCGCTGTGCAGGGACAGCCCGCCAGGGCTTGCTGCGTTTGCCTCTGGTCGTGGCGGTTCCCCAGGTGACCCGAGTTTGCAGCGAGCATGGGCTGGATTCAGTTTTCCAGGGCCTTCTGCATCTTAACGAGGTCCAGAGGTCCAAGGAGTGATGGTCTGGCGGTAGGGCTTCACGATAGTTCTGGGCCAGGGTAGGGGGTGGGGAGCGCACCAGGGTTGGGACCAGAACCACCAGGCCTGGGGCCAGCAAGGGACCCCTCACTTCCTGGGCACCTCCGGCCCCACTCACACGGGCGGTCCAGGGCTCCCAGTGAGTGGCTATGAACCACCCTGAAACTGGAAGGGCCGCTCACACCTAAGACATCGCTTAGACCTGGGGAGAAGCAGCCACGGCTCAGGGTGCAGGTAAGTGACCCTAAGGGGGAAAGGGGGGTCTGGAGAGAGGATATCACACCTCAGAAAGCCACGCATTCCAGGCCAAGTGCACCCGCCTTCACATGTTCACGGGACAACACGCGGCTTTCGGGCTCCACAGCCGGCGGTATGCCTTTCAGCATGTCGGCGTCCTCCTGCAGGAGCCCTGATGTCAGCGCCTGCCCAGGGGCAACTGCCACATGGGCTGGGCCAGACCTGGGGGAGGGGCCTGCTCACCGCCTCCCAGCAGCTTCATGCGATGAAGGAAAGTCCGTCCCGTACACATGCACGTCCCCTGGGGTGGGCAACCTCACGGGCGTCCCTGTGCTCCACGGCCTGCTCAGCAAAGCCGCCCAGGAACGGGGCTGGGACTAGGGGCTGCAGGGACAGAAGGGGCCCAGGGAGGTCATTGGTGCTCCTGCTGGAGAGACTGACTGAAGCCAGGGGGATGCCAGGTCCTGCCCCGGGCAAGGTGTGGCACGTAGCCAGGGGCACCCATCCTGTCCCTTTGCGGTGCCCTCTGTCTGCCCCGCTCCACTCTGCTGAGAGACGCTGGGCTGCAGGCCCCAGCCGCTTGCGCAGGTCTTACGGGTGTGGGCGGCCTCCCTCCCGTCACTCCCGCCACTGCTGCTGGCCGGCTGGTGGCAATTGAATGACGGGGCTGTGGAGGGAGGCCAGCCGCCATTCCAGGCTCCTGCCCAGCGGTCTTGACACAGAGAGGAGAGCTGCTGAGTTCACCCACATGCGGACTGGAGTCAGGAACAGTGGGGCCTTTCCTGGGCCAGGAAGCTGGAGACTCAGGTTCCCCATGTCCAGGGACTGGGCAAGGGCCATGGGTGAGGAGAGGAGGGCTGGAGGTCTGTGTCCCTCCAAAACTGAGAGGGAGGCCCTGGCTGGAGCTACAGAGACTCAGTGTGCCAACGCCAGGAGAGCATCAGAGATAGGACCTGGGAGATGCCCAGGGAAGAGAGTGAGTAGAAGTCCTAAGGGAAAGAGACATCGTACAGGAAATGCAAGATTACAGCCCTACCCCAGGTGGTGGGAGCCCCGGAGAAGGGAGGCAGGTGGGGGCTTCCTGGGGAGGCCCGAGCGCCAGCTTCCGGGCCTGTGGGTGCAGATGTGCGGAGAGGGAAGCGAGGGGGTCACAGACACTGAGGAGAGGGGTGGGCCAAGTTGGCCAGACCCCTTCCAGGGCCTCCCAGTCTGGTCTGCAGGATTCCCCAGACTGGCGGAGCCGGAGACCGAAGGCAGAGTGAGGAGGCCATCTAGCGGCGGGGGCTGGAGGGGGGGGGGGGGGGGGCGGGCTGGGAGGCACCCCCGGGGGGGTGGGGACAGAAGACAGGCAGCCACCTGTCCTCAGCAGGGATGCTGGTGAGGGATGGAGGGCTGGGCGGATGGAGGGGGGAGGGGAGGGAAGGAAGGAAGGACAGAAAGGTGGGCGGGGGCATGACGGGGTGGGTGCAGATGACCACCGGAGAGAAGGGCAGAGCCCAGACAAATGAGACCCGTATCCTGAGTGTCGGGGACGTCTGGCCGGGTCAGGCACAGGCTGGGGTTTGGAACCTCTGACCTGCGTGGGGAGGGGCCCAAATCGTGGGGAGGGGGAAAGGCAAAGAGAGGGAGCCATCTGGTGTCTGGAGGTGGAAGACGGCAGGGTCTGGTGTCTGGGAAGTGGGGAGGGGGCGGGACGAGTGGAGGGGAAGTGGGGGGCTCAGTGGAGCCCTTGCTTCCAAGGCAATAAATGCGAACCACAACTGAGTTTTGTCCAGATTTGCCCCCAACTCACGGCAGGGAGCAAATGCCAGGAAATAAGGCCTTGGTGCTGGTGTCACCGTCCATGGTTACCTTCTGCTTAAGGACAGGCCATCCTAGGGCAGGTGGCCCCTGGCGGGCTCTGGGATGTCCTGGTTGGCCGCAAGAGGGAGTGGGATCCTAGGGTGAGGAGGCCAGCAGGCCTGGGGACCCCTTGGTGACCCCCAAGGAGCACAGGGCCAAGGCGTGAGTTCCTGCTCCCAGCCTAGAGGCGGCCCTCAGCGCCCAGCCCCCCAGGCTCCAGCCCTGTGCTGCTCAGGCTTCCAAGTGGCAAGTGGCGGGCCCGGGGTCCCTGCACCTTTGGGAATCACGTATTCCAGGCACACTCCTTCCAGCTGGCCCAGTGCTCCACGTAGCCTCCCAGGCCTTGGGCGTGGGGTCATGACCCAGTGCTGCGGCCCCTTTTCTCCCGTGCCTGGTCTGCAAGGGAGAGGCTAGAGGGAGAAGGAGCAGGGAGGGAGCCCAGAAGGCTGGAGTGTCCTTAGGGCCCGGTGGCTTCTCAAGGCCCACCCCACCCAGCGCTGGCACAAGGTGGATGTCCCTTCTGCGTCTGTCTTCCCTGGGAGCACAGACCCACAGACGCTCACAGCCCAGCCATGGAGTCTGGCCCTTTATCTGCCGAATGGAGACCCTCCCTCACCCACCACCTTGATGGAATTGGGCGATGCTGCCCCACCTTGCCTAGAGGTGGGCGCTCCCCTGAGAATGTTGATTCTTCCCAAACCATAGGATGGGGGGACAGGGACAGAGCTTGGATCAAGTTCTGGGGGCCCGACTGGCTGAGCCCCAATAACAGTCTCTTCAAGGCCCAGCCAGATGGCTCTCAAGGTGCCCCCCTCCCTCCACACCCCCCAAAGTCATCTGCCCGGACACCTGCCTGGACTGCTGGGGGGACGTCCCACCGTTTTGAGGGCCGAGCCTTCGCCCTGACCTCTCCCACCTCCCTGGCTGGGCTGGGGTCCAGGGAGACCTTCAACTTCGCAGAGGACACTCCAGGGCCAGCACTTCCATTCTCCACCAAGAGCCTCCCCCTCTCTCCCTTGCTGTTTTCTGGAGCAATTCCTCTCTAGGAGTGAGATGGGAGTGGGGGGTGAGAGGGGAGGGTGTGTTCTGCAAAATGGGAAGCTTCAGGTTTTATTTTTCTGGTTTAAATAGGACTTTTAGGTTGTTGTTTTTGTTTTGTTTTGTTTTGTTTTTTTCCTGAAAGAAGTGCAGGGATCAGGGACCCCAGTATTGCCAGCTCTGAGCCCTGTGCCCTGCGTGACCAAAACAGCGCCCCCCCGGGACCCTGCCCCACCCTGGGCTGCCGCCGTGACTCTGAGGACGCTCTGCTTGCGGAGCCCCATGGAAAGCCAGCGCCGCGGATGTGGAAGAGCCTGGATTCCACACTCAGCTCATCCCTGGCCTGCACTTTGCTCCGATCGATCCGTCAGTGGGGGTGGCGTGCGCGAAGCCGTGCCCACTCGCCACTGCCCCCAGGCACAGTGGGCCCCCGCCCACCACGCAGGCCCCAGCGCAGGCTCCCTTCTCTGAGCTGGGGTGCAGCACCAGCCAGCTGGACGGTCCCTCAGGCCACTCTGTCCCAGCTCCTGAGCATGCCTGCAACCCTCTTCCAGAGGGTTAAAAATAATGCATTAGCTGAAACACAATAAAGGAGAAGCATTTTGCTATTTTTCCCAGGCGCTTAAAGCACGTCAAATAGCAAGGCTTTAAGTTGTGGTCAGTGAGAGTCACCAGCATCCCAGGGTGTTGAATACGTGGGAGGGGGACAGACCGTCTGTCTTTAAAATGCAGGGAGCCCTGGCCTGCAGGATAAAGTCTCTGGGAAAACAAAACAAAAAACAAAACAACAACAACGTTTAAATAGGACCTGGGCAGCTCTGGCCCTCAAACATTTGAGAGAATATTTGTTTGATGACCAAAGCTTGGAAAGGGAGGGGGGGTCTAGACTGTCCTTTAAAACTTAAGTTGGTTTTAACTGAAGCACCTACCATTCTGGAGAAAGGGAAGGGGGAACACACGCTCGCACAAAGCAGGGGGTAAGTGGGTGTTATCCTAAGGAGCGTTGCCTCCTCCCTCCCGCCCACCTTTGTCTCCGGAAAGATTTTTTTTTTTTTTAACTCAAAGACTTCAGGTGAAAATAAAGCAACTGCAGCAGCAGAAAAAAAAAATTTAGTCTTTTTTAGGGTTAACTATCAGAAGACAAGCTTGCGCTGCTTTGGCCAATCAGATCCGCCCCTGCTGGCTATAATATAGCACGGAGGGCAGCCTGTCTCGCAAGCTCTCCCGGCTTGCTACCATTTAAAATCAGACTCTTTTTGTCTTTTGATTGCTGTCTTCAGCCCCAACTCCGATGTGTTCCGTTATCAGCGACCAGCAGCCTGCCGTGCCAGCCCCCGTCTGGGTGGGGATCGGTGGCCAGTCTCCCGCAGCCGCGGCGGGCGAGGTTATATAGGAAGAGAAAGAGCCAGGCAGAGAGCGAGGGAGCCAGCAGCGAGCCGAGCGAGGAAGGGAGAGCGCAAGCCCCGGCGCACAGGCACACGCGCTCGCACCCGCGCACACAGCCCCGCGCGGGGACGGCGTGGAAGGCGCTGGGCGCCGCGGACAAGATGCTGCCGCTGGGGAGACGTCTGCTGGCGGTGCTCGTCTCCGCGCTGCTGCTGTGCCCGGGGCTGGCGTGCGGACCCGGCAGGGGATTTGGGAAGAGGCGGCACCCCAAAAAGCTGACCCCTTTAGCCTACAAGCAGTTTATCCCCAACGTGGCTGAGAAGACCCTAGGGGCCAGTGGAAGATATGAAGGGAAGATCTCGAGAAACTCGGAGCGATTTAAGGAACTCACCCCCAATTACAACCCCGACATCATATTTAAGGATGAAGAAAACACAGGAGCGGACCGGCTGATGACTCAGGTAG